GAACCATGTTCTCTATGAACCAGCAGAACCATATTGCACCGTTCCGAACACCGACAACCCGCATAACCTCCTTCAGACGGCGCTCCTTCTCGAGAACCAGGCCTTTGATGGTCTGGCAGGCCGTGTAGATGAACGCTAGCACCAGGAACATGGGCAACATGGTGCCAATGGATGAAACAAAGCTGCAGGAATGACCAGAACTGATCTCAGAACACCCAAAAATCAACATGACTTCATTCACTCACATACGTTTACAGAAAAAACGAAAGAAGAAGAAAAAAAAATTCCAGGTTTGGATCGAGTAGCTGAATAAATGAAAGAATTTACATGTGTGCGTGCCGTGAACTAGTGTTATTTTAGTATCATTGATATACTATTATAGGTCTTGTTAATATTTTAAATTAGATGGAATTTTCATATTTTATGTTTTCATTTTGATTTTTTGTTAGTTTTAGTTATCTTGTTGTGTTTATTTTAAAGCAGCTTTACTGAAAATCACGATGTCGATGTTTATAATACCATAATTTATTCATGCCTTAGAGCCACATTTATCAGATTGGAGCATTGCAATAATATAGTTTACACTTCGGGACAATACAAGCAGTTGAGATTTGATATATAGTATTTATCGCCCAACACAAGGATACAGTGTGTATGCAAATAAAGTGAGTACATACTTATATATATATATATTTTTATAAACAGTTAAGTGTTAATATAATAAAGTTATATTTTGGAACAAAATAAAAGTTAGGTAGCTGAGATTTGCTATATGATATATATCAATGTATGTGAGTATATTGTATGTATGTGGATAAATTATTATAATATTCATCCAACTTTATAAATTTGCTATTTTTATTAGTTTTTTTTTTGGTAACACTTCATTTAAATCCTTTATGTATAATGCATTATAGCTTTTCATAAATAGATGTAAGCAAGGTTAACATGCATTATATTTGCAGATTCATTGTTACATCTGAAATTGCTTGTTTGTCATGTTTTAATGCATTATACTTTGTAAAGGTGCAACAATGAATAGATCAGCATAATACCTGTGGTTACAATTAATCCTGAGATCATCAAATGCATAAAAATGTGTATTAAGGCATTACAGATATTTTATAATGCATTATATAAGCCTTTAAGTAAATTGTTAATTTTTTTTCAATATGTCAATATAGTAACTTAGCTTGTTTAGTTTTAGTTATTTTTGTACTTAAACTAAACCAAAGTGAGAAATGTTGCCTTGGCAACTGGTTTCAGTTAAAGCTTGTTTTATGTCAAGTAATGATTTCATGGTTTTAGTGTTAGTTAACAATAATAACCCAGGGTTGGTACTATAATAATGACCTCTGCTCATCAAGGTGCTGCTGATATGGTTCTGAATGAATCCTGCTGTGCTGGATGATCTTTACACCACACACAGAGCTCAGCGTCAGTATGATACATCATTCGGTGACGGTTTGATAATACAGTAAGCCTGTATTAAAGTACTCTCATAAGGCCAGTAAAATGTCATGTCAATATCGGAGCAGAAGGTTCCGGAAACAAAGTGCTGTCTGTGCTCAATTAGCTAGCAGCTCAAATATATCATGTGCTCTCAAAATATGACAAGCTATAGATTTCTCATATCAGTTCTGCTTACCTTTCATAAATACAGTCAGGGAGAGGCGCCGCAATACAATTAGAGCTGACACCAGAAACAGTCGGGGGACGGCGATAACAAACTCTTTAAAACGCATTAATTTACCATCACATCTCACTCAACTCTCTTCGGTTTCGTTCACACAGCAGCACAAACGGTTGCCCGTCCGGATGTAAACGGCTAAGTATGGTAACATTAACAAATGTTGGTTATCAATAAGAATGACGAGCACTTTCTATAGCCATTAAGATTGATTGGAACCTGCTGAAATTTGTTCAGACATTGCGTCTGTGTTGTTTTAGCATCCGATTCATTGATGGAATAAAATAAAATAAGGTAACTATATGCATTATATACTTTAATGGCACAATTATTTTCACTAGCAACTTACCCTAGTTCCAATGTAAATTGGCACTAAGTTACAACTTGAAAATGTAATTTGTTAGTTTCGTTTCTTTTAATATGTCTATAAATATTTGATTATATTTTAGTATTTAGTTTTAGTTTATTTAGTTTTTAGTACTTCAATAATGTTATGTTTTTTGTATCAGTATTTATTTATTGCTCCTTATTCATTTCAAATACAGTTTCTAAATGTTAATTGCATATCTTAAGTTTTTATTGTTTTTACGTAAAATTTGAAGGCTGCTATTGGATCATTAAAGGATTGATATTATAAATCCTTGAGACACAGAGATTCCCTTCAAGAACATGCGGCTTTTGCTTTTGGTGAGGTGAAAAATGGCTCAACACAGACACATAGACCGGAAAGCAAATTAGCATTCTCTCCATTCTCTGTCCCTCCAATGCTGAATAGAATTGGAGTTTTGGGAGTTTTCAAGTGGAACTAAATGACGCAGGTCTGACTGATTCTGCCAGGAGGCTGAACAGCGTTTCAGGATTAAGATATTTATGACCTTACAACACACACACACACGCACACATGCACAAAACGCCTAACACAAAAACACATTAAATGTTACATGCATAAACAATTAGAAGCAATACAAAAAAATAGGATGTACACTACTGTTTCCAAAGTTTTGAATCAGTAAGATTATTTCATGTTCATGTTCGACGTATTCTTCATCGTCGATTAGGAACCTGGGTGTGCTCTTTGATACAAATCTTTCATTTGAAAGTCACGTTTCTAGCATCTGTAAAACCGCATTCTTCCATCTTAAAAATATATTTAAATGACGACATATGCTTTCAATGAAAAATGCGGAACAGTTAGTCCATGCGTTCATGACCTCAAGGCTAGATTATTGTAATGCTCTACTGGGTGGTAGTGGTTAAACCGACTAGTCGATTAGTCGACCTTAATGCAATGCCGTGACGCTTTAAGCTTGACGTCGACTAGTCGCGTTGATCATGTGACACTATGATTGCGCTCATTTTGATACTAACAACATGGCCGCGTTGCAGACGACAACAGATGAAGAGCCCAGAGGGAACACTGTTTTTTTCTTTAAGAACACTGCTCGACGGCAGTTGGAAACACGGTTTAAACTGGAGTCCGACGATCTGACAGAAACCATCCCCACTGTAGCCTGTATGCTCGATCCTCGGTTCAAACATCTTCATTTCATCCCAGAGGGTAAAAGAGAGGCCGCTCACAGCCACCTGAACAGCCTGGTCCAGGTTGAGGGAGAGCAAAAGGTGAGTCCGCTGAATGAAACTGCGCTAGCATAATTTCTGTTATCTGTTATATTCTGAATGTTCTGATTCAATCTGACTTCAGACCTGTAATGCTGCCTGGATCATAATCATACACTGTTCGCTCATTGGCCAGAGGAGAACTGGCCCCCGACTGAGCCTGGGTTCTCCCAACGCTATCTCACGACCAATTCGTACGAATTCGTACGAGTGATTAAATGGTGGCTAATTCGTACTAATTCATATGACCTCACTCGTACAAATTTGTAAGATTTGTCTAAACCCGTGATGGGTAGGTTTAGGGGCGGGGTCAGGAGTAGGTCATTCGTACGAATTCATACGAATTTGGTAACTCGTAAAATATGTACGAATTAGCAAAAATCGTACGAATTTGTACGAGTGAGGTCGTATGAATTAGTACGAATTAGCCACCTCGTAAAATTCGTACGAATTGCCATGAGATCGGGCTGGTTCTCCCAAGGTTTTTTTTCTCTCCATTCTGTCACCTGATGGAGTTTTGGTTCCTTGCCACTGTTGCCTTGGCTTTTGTCTTGCTTAGTTGGGGACATTTAATATTCAGAAAATTTTGACTAAACCGCTCAATTCATAAGGATTAGTTTTACGATCTCTTTGTGAACTTTTTAAAGCGTCAAAGTGGTAGTTGCGTAGACTGTCAATGGAGAGACAGAAATCTCTCAGATTTCATAAAAAATTTAAATACAGAAGTTTTCTAAGATTCGCAGAAAGTCGTGTCTGAAAGCTGCGTGCGATGATCTATAGTTTCTTTTTTTTTTCATTGTCTATGTGAATCTCTATTGCTTCCTTCTATCTGATCTTTCACAGTCCACTAATTTTCTTAAAGCAAGGATCTGTAATTATCATTTTATCTCTACTAACTAGACTAACTAACTAATTACGATCAATGAACTAATTATTGTGAAAGAAGCATTGCTTAAATTTATACAATATGTAACAGGGGGCATAAAAATGAAGTCCCCCCCCATCTTAATGCATATTGTATTATTATTAATATTGTGATTATTTCCTCCCACAATGACTTCTATGCACAATGCAGCCCGGTTACGACAACAAACAAGCCTGTATGTGCACATCCATTAGAAATGTTTGGGTGTGCGCATGCATGTTGTACATGGTACCAAATTAAGATACATGGTAGCAAAAACACTTATATTTGAGAATATCACCTGGCTAGAGTTTGAGACCCCAGGCATGATGTCTCAGTTTCATGAAAGCAGCCTCATTCAAATCTATAAAACACAGCTTTTCACACGAATCAATAAACACATTAAAACAACACAGTGGCGCTCAGCAGTGGCTCTGACGTTCACGTCACCACAAATAAACAAATGCACACAATCCCCCGCTGATGGATTTTTCAGGCCGATGGAGAGAGAGAGAAAACCAATCAAAGCCAATATTAATTTGACATTTACTTCAGCCATGAATCACAGCCGTTGATTATGCTGTAAGATCGACTGAAAAACATCCCTTTCCTCTCTGCATGGTCTACCATCCCACTCTCAACACCAAACTATCATTTAAATATGAAAACATCGACCATCAGTGTTTATATAATTTCTCATATTTCACAGTCACGGACAAAACGCCTGAGCAAGGGCAGTTTTGCATGAAGTGATCACTCATAAACACACACACACACAGTTTTGCTTACACGTCGTCCATGTAACAAGGGTATGGCATCTGTTGTGCGAATACTCCGAGCGGCTGACTGACTCCAGTCTGGACCTTAGTGATTCCTCGATCCACCATGTCCTGCAGGTACACAAACCCTCCTCTCACATACCGCAGGCTATTAAATGGGTTGTCGCGGGCCGTTGGGGACCAGGACCTAAAACACACATGAACACAAAACCATAAATCTCCAGTAAACCCGCTGCAGTAGCAGCACATGCTTACTGATCAGTTTTTACAGTAGCCTATGTGTGATATGGTACAACTGCACTGTAATGGGAAAAATTACTTAAAGTACAGGGTTTACCTCTTAAGAGAAGTATGGACCATTTTTATATTTTGCTCAAACTAATAAACTACTAAACATCGTACATAATCTAAAAACTGAAACTGTCATCATGAGCTCAAAACAAAGCCACCTAGTAATTTCAAAGTCTTCTCTTTGCCATCCTAGCCTAAACAATTTTCTAAAATATAACATTGTTTATTATGCTCTTAATATGCTGATTAATAATGCTAAATGTATGGAAAAAAACAAAACGTCTAAAGGGTCTTGTCACAAACCTGGTTTAGTTAAACGGTCAGAGTCATCTGTATGACAGATAAACATAATTGTATTTGCAGCATTCTTGTTTTCTGCAGCGTTTTGGCTAACGTCTATTTGCTGCTCACAGTGTTTCTGATACTGTTGTTAAAACAACCACGTCATCTGCAGCTCTTAATGTGGCGCTTTACGTCTTTAGAGGGACCCTTATGAAAAAGAAGTATACTTCAAGTTCGATTTATTAAATATACTGAAGTATTTTTAAATATGATTTTTTAAATAACGTAAATATTTCATGGGTTTTCTACTACATATTTCAGTGAGACATAACGTTATACTGTATTAAACCATACAAGTCTTAAAACCCGGGGTTCCCTTTAAGCAATCATCTGTCACTTGTGTTGTTTCTGCTTCTTCTTCGTCTGTGTTTTGATCTGGAGATTCTGTAATCTTTCAGAAGATGAGTAGTAGCGCACCCTATATACCGTATATCAGTGATCGCTACTAGTGGACAAGCCTACACAAAAATTCAGATACTCAGAATTAGGAACATATCTGTTTTCTTTATAAATCAATATTTTCAAACATGTACGTGTTTTAGACAGTATGTAAAACTATGTGGGGGAAAAAACAACCACAAGCCAAGTATACTTAGAATACTTCATTAGGCCAACACTTTTAAGTAGGCCTATATCTCAATAAAAAAACTGAGTACAAGTATAGGCCAAATATACTTTTCTGTCAGTATAAATCAAAAATACTTAAGTGCTATTTTAAGTATATTTCTGAGAAGTCATAAAAAGTAGACTTAATCAAAAAATTAGGAAGTATACTTTCAAAGAAGTATACTAATAGCACACTTGAATAAACTTCTTTTCCGTAAGGGGAGAGAGAATTAAGCGTGTTTGGCTCTAGCTCTTTTTTTAAGAGGATGTAGAGCCGAAAGATCATTAGCGTAAACGACCCTGAGCGCTTATGATGTGTACCGCTCCATTGTTTTGACGCGCTAAAATACCGCAATTATGGAACCATGGATGTAGCGGATACCTGAATACCACTGCTATAAAGAAAGCATCAATGATCTTAAATGTCCTTTACATCCATGAATTTGAAAATCTGCCATCAGGAAGGAGCTACAAGGTACACAGACCAACTAAAAATGTTTTTAAGAGACATTTTATCCGTTTGTCAATTGTTTTTTTTTTTAAATAATTGTTTAATCTTTGGACTGAATATATGCGAATATGTGTATAAGTTGTGTTACGTAAGTTATTCCACCAGTTTGGGCAAAGATACATTTTTCCATGCAAATGAACAATAAAGATTTCATTTCATATAAAATGTCTTCCCTGCCCCTCAGCTTTTATTTTCATGTTTTTCAGCTGCCGTATGGTGATTGTAGTGTTTTCTGTTCTAACCTCTCCTTGATTTTGTCAGTTCTTTCGGTCTCCTCGATCTCCATGCGGATCTTGTATCTGATGTGGGGAGGAGGCTGGAGGTCACTGGAGTCATAGAGACCCGTGAAGACCAGTCCAGCCCAGAACCTGTCCTGATTCAGGAGCTTAAATGACTGTTCAACCAGCACAGTCTCACTGCTGACACCTTCAAACTTATCCAGATCAAAACACTGAAACACACACACACACACACACACACACACACACAGTTTTCAGCACCTCTGTTGCATCTGAATCTGACAGTGAAGAATGGGATTCATGTGGCGTACGGTGAACAGAAGCAGCAGGCAGAACAGAGAAGCGTCTGCAAAGGAGAGTTCGGGATTGAGCTCAGCCGTGGAGAGACCGAATAAGAAGAGTAAACAGAGAACAGAATAAATGAAAGAGAACAGAGGAAACATCTGCATCCAATCAAGCTGAACAATAAAGAACCATAAAACATGTCAAGACTGGACAACATCCACTGACAAAATGCCATGACTTTGAATGGTAAAAGAGCCAAACATCTTATTAGAAAAGATGCACATGCATTCAGTGGAACAACCCAAATAATGCCTCATTTGAGCCCTAAAAGAGCTTAAAACTACAAGATTTAATTTTTTAGCATTAGTTAATGAATTAAGTATCATGAACTAATATAAAAACGTATTTTTTTATCTACTTGAAACGTTTTGGTTAATTCTAATTTATAAATATAATTCATATTTTTTATAATTTATAATACAGTTCATATTTCACATTTTCATGGTGAAAACCATACTTTAGTAATTAAAATGTAAAATATAAACTAAGACACAAAAAATCGAACTAAACTAAATTTGGATTAACTTGATCAAAAGCCTTTTTAAGGGTATAAACAGAATAAAACAATTTTTCAGAGTAGAAATATAATTGTATATAATATTATGTTGTAATATATTGTAATATTACAAAATTATGTAATGATGGATGGGTTTTCTACATTAAGATAATAAATACTGTTAAAAGTTGATATATACGGTAATGTTTTTATCACTTTAGGATATTGTTTACAGATTTTACTGATTTGATATTATTGCTATACTACTAAAATGTGTTATTGAAACAATCGGTCCTTGCAGGCTTTTGGTCATCCTAAAATGTACAAGAATACAAACTTCAAAATGGTTGCATGGTTTGTAGTGCTGCAGAAAACTGGAATAGATTTTATATTTTAATATTCTATATATTAATCTCCCGCTTTCACAGACCAGGCTTAAGTCCTAGATTAAAATGCATGTTTGAGATGTTTTTACTGAAAGCAACTTGCACTGGCATGTCTTCAAATATGTGAGTGTCATTGTTTTGTCTCAAGATGCACATCAGTAATGTTTTTTTTTCTAAGGCATGTTTATAAAAGCTATAAACACCCTAATTGAACCAAGGCCTAATCCTGGTTTAGTTTAAGCCCTGTCCGTGAAACCGGACCAATATAGTGTATTTTAATATTCTAAATGTTTTGTTCTACAATGTTTATTGTTGGTGTAGCCAATTTAAATTTCTTCAAATCCAGTGTAACTACCCCTTTAGTCATTTATCAGATAATTTAAATGGACTTTTAGGGCTTATATTTAGGGCTCCATTGCTTGTATCAACACAAATGTCATGTGCTGCTTTGATTTCCACCACAGAGTATTTATCTCTGAATGTCATGACAAGGATTCAGTGTTTTGTAGTACAACTCAATGTATCTAGATACGCACAGATTTTGTGCTTTGATTCTTTGATTGGTTTTGATCACAAAATGATACATCATGCAAATGAATCACTGTGCTCATTGGCTGCACTTTCAGCGTTACAATGCTTGACTAGTGTGCAACAATGCAACTTGACTCTTTGATCCACAGAGTTGGATCATATGAAAGGGCCTTTAGAGCGCACCCATTACAGTTTCAGTGTGCTTGAATCAATCAGAGGTTCAGTGCCTTCATAATGGCTCACTGATCAACCTTTGTGAGACCCAAACCTGTAACTTTTTAGTTGCCAGCCCAGATTGTTCACCCCCTAGGCTACACCATCCTGATCCAGCCTGAATTTCAGACAAATTGAGAATAAAAGAGGGAAGACAACGGTGAAGAGAGTAAAAAGAGATCAGAACAAAGGAAGGCTGAAAAGGGCTAAGAGAAAAGCAGAGATTCTGAATGAAACATGAAGTTAATTGTTGTGAGAAAATCAAAAGAGACATGAACCAGCAATTCAGAGTTTAGGAATTGGAATTCGATTCATGAGATTGGCAACATGCTTCACAGGATGTTGAATTGGAATTTGAATTGTAAGAGGAATAAAGGTAATGGCATGCAGGGACATGTAAAGCCTATATAACAATCAAACTTAAATGAGTTCTTTTTTTTTCCCCAAGCCAACATTCAAAGTTTGTCTTTAAGAACTTAAGCCTAGTAAAAAATGACACTTCTGTCAATTTCTTTAAATTTCAATTCATTCTTTTTCCTTAAATTCAAACTCGAATGACAAATTCTGCATCCTGTTTGCTATACCTCAGTTCAAATTCAGGAATTGAAAGGCAAAGAAACGGCATTTGCTATTACATTATGGGAAATTGAAAGGTCTATATAACCTTTACACTTAAATAAGCAATAAGCAAGCAAGCAAATACGTAAAACTTTTTTAAACCAAACTTTCAAAGTTTGTTTTGATGAACTTAAATTTTAGTGGAAAATGACACAACAACAGGACAAATTCTCCATCCTGTTTGTGACCTAAGTTCAAATTCAATTTAAATTTAGGAACTGAAAGGCAAAGAAACGGCATTCTCCATTCAATTCCGAACAGCCCTGCAACAAACTACAGTGTAGAAAACAGACCCGTAGAATCTGAGTGAGTTGCTGTGCTATCTGGCTGACGGCGATGAAGATGTTACGCCAGTCGAAGGCTGGCATTCCTGCTGGGCGCTTGGACTCGGGACCGTTAAACAGGAAGTTGCTGATCAGCGCTGTGGACAGGCTAGTGTCCTCCAACCTCTGGTCCAGAACTACAGCAAGAACAGGGTTCTTCAGAAGACCCTGTAAAACACAGAACACATTCACAGGGTTACACAACACAACCGATGTATGCTGTAAAACTACGGTTGTGACAAACCAAGATTTCAGTAGTCGACACTTGATAACAATTACACAAGAGCAGTGAATGTTTCTCTTGTTCTTGTTATTATTGTTGTTAACAATATACATCAGATATTGGACAGATCTGTTAGGCTTTATACTTCAGGGTCTTATCCAGAAATCCTGTATTTATTTTTTTGTCCCACCTTTATTCAACTGTGTTTACTTTAATATGTCGATATGTCAATGTCATTATTGTTGATGCTGTTTACACGACACCGTTTTCAACTAAAAATGTAAAACTTTTTATGCGTTTTGGCTGTTGGTTTACACAACAACAGTGGTTTGGGTGCCTGAAAACGCAAACTTTTGAAAACGGGTTTCAAAGTGGCAGTTTTTAAAAACGCTCACTGTGTAAAAAACAAAAACGTGAATCTTTAAAGACAATGACGTCATGCACATGTTCAATCTATAGTGTTTCCTCGCCATCAAATGGCCTAGCCGAAGAATACAGCATCTTTAGTCTTTTTCGCAGAACCATGTGAGTGGGGATCATTTTGACAATGGTGTCGTCTGTACGCGGAAAACTCAAAGGAAAAACTTCTTAAACATATAGTTGTGTAAACGTACCCTAAAACTATATTACTATTTTAGGTTATTGAACTAAAGCTGAAATAAATTCGAATATAAATAATAGATAAAAAAATTGATGTAATATTTAGAAATAAAATTAGAAAGTAACTAACTGAAATTAAAAAAGGTTATGTGTAACCTAAAATGCAATAAATTTAAGTTAAATAGAACTATTTAAAACTTAAAAGACAAAATCACTTTAATTTAAACTAAAATAAAAATAAAAATAAACATATATAACAAAACATGAATAAATATTATAATAGTATATAATTCAGGGTTATCATCGTTAACTAAAACTTTTAAAAACTGAAACAATTAAAAACATTTCTGTTACTGTAATTGAAATAAAGCTGAAATAAAATCTAAATAGTTGAAAAACTAAAGAAAAATTAGAAATTTTGCCTTGGCAAAGTTTAAGTTGAATCACTAAAATTATTAACTAGAAATAAATGAAAAATCAAATAAATGACACAAGCACATAATGATATGACTAAAAATCTAACTAAAATTAACATGACAACTAAAAACATAAAAATAAAAGCTATTCAAAATATTGATAAAACAATATACAATAAAACCTAAAATAACACTACCGGTAATATAAATCATTCTAAAATAACACTGCACCAAGACAGCCATTTTGGCCAGGAAGTGCATTTGAACATTCTTGCGCACAACCGCATTACCACACATGCCATGAGAAGCAAATAGCTACGCATTCAAGTCTTCCAAAACAGCTGCCTGTCAGTCAGACCGCCATCGGTACTAAACTGACACACTGCTACACTGACACACAGCCCTAACAATACTACAAGAACACCCATAAAGTTGCAGTTTTTGTACGTAAAAGGATTTCTCACATCCCTGTGCTAAACGCATTGCAATTGCATTTGCATCCTCCAGACTTTCAGAGAGCATGTTAGTCTCTGTACAGCCAGGCAATTAGTGTGTGCACCATCCTCTCTCTCTCGCTCTCTCTCTTCAAGCTAGGTGGCACTGTTGCTCTTCAGAGTTGTCTGGTATCAAGCTTAGCACTGAAAAAGCCTCTTTGTCTCTCTGCGTTTCTCTCACACACAGACACACTCACACGTTTTTGTCATAAATTGCAGTTCCACCCCTCTCCTTTATAATTCCTTGTCCTAACCTGCAAGGATAAAATCGTGTCACTCTACACAGGGGTGCATAACAAACACATACACGAATATACAAACACACAAACAGCATACATGTGCATAGACATGCAAATATGAATATTTATTCACATATAAACACACCCAGACACACCCACACACACATATAACATGCTAACATAAACATACTAGCGCACATAAATAAACATGAATGCATCACGCGCGCACACACACCTACGCACATATGACGTATTCAAACAAACACATACAAACACACACATTTATTGAAAGTCACAATTCATATGTAAATCATTCTGTTGCCTTGAGTGTGGTTGTGGATTCTTTTGAAAGCTAGCGTGTGTGTGTGTGTGTGTGTGTCTATGTTTAATGTGTCCATAGAAGCATTCACTCCTGCATCTCATTTGGCTGAAGCACATAATAAAAGAGTGACATCATTATTATTAAAGTCTTATTATCAATCATTATAATTGTTAGCCTGACTTTGTCATACTCATATTCTAGTCAGAATGTGAGTCTGATACTGCTTCATAGGGCTTTGATTATGAGGCGTGTCTTAACCGAACCAGGAAAAAAAAAAACTCTGCACTCAATTGGATAGACCTACAACCAATGAGAGCAACGCAGTAAGTCAACTACTTTGCATAGCACAGTTGTCAACTACAGAACTCAAATGCACGCACGCTGGAAGAAGTAAAATAACGAGTGTTGCTTCTTTTACTTGGCCCTCTATGAGTGCGACCAAAGGAGAAACTACAACGACCACAGGGTTTTCATTGCGTCCCATCTTCTTAGTTACCATCGGAGCCAGCTGATAAATTAAACTTTTGCCGAATCCCATAGGAAGGACGGCAAACACATCTTTCCGATCGACAAATGCCTTGATTGCAGTTCTATGTTCGTCTTTTAAAATGAATGCGCTGTCGATTTCTTTTACAACGGACGCGATAGCGGAATCTCTACATCTCAGTTCTCCAGCGGCAGTCATCTGTGAGGGAAACCAGTTCAACCCAAGCGCTCTTTGATAACGTGAGGATTGCGTCCCTGCAGATCATCTGTCCATCATCGTATAAAGCCCGCCCTGGCAATTTGATTGGCCCGACGATTTCTGAACCGATCATAATTACTCCTCAATGGAGCGAGTCCAGACCGAACTTCCCGATCAAAAAATGTTGTGGGCGGGGTTCGGGCTGGCATCCAGGCTATATAATTGTATTAAAAGTGCCCAAATCTGTTTAGCACATCACTGCAAAAAGGCTGGAGGGACCACTGCAGGAAATGAACAAATTGGTGCTCGTTCTTGTCTGAAGTGATGTATGATAGATAGATATAAAAGAAAGACAGACAGACAGACAAACATATACTGTAGACATTTACTGAGTGCCACATTAATACACTCTTCTTTGGATCACCATTTCAAAACCATTGGCACCCTATTTTCCAATAAAACACAAAGCTCTGCTAGTTAAAATGTTAAAATGTATTTAAATTAAGCAGTATTAAATGAACACATTAGGGCACTGCAGCTAATGGAGGCCACCATTAAATATTTCAGCCATTAAACATAAATCATTGTGCCAAAACACCTGAAAATAAAAATGTAATTTACTCAGATATCAGACAAGAGACTCTGACAGCCAACCAAACAGTTTAAATGGAAACAGACAGACAGACACCGGCTCTGTTTAATAACCCTAGTGGACTGCTGTGCCATCTTCTCAGGAATCATTGTAACTGAAATGTAGGATGCATGACTGATTTGGAACCCCTTTACATTGAGTGAAGTCATCTTCATGTGAAGTGCTTGTGCGACTCAACTCATAACTGATTAAAGGAGTGATTATAAAGGATCTTTACAATCGAACTGAATCAACTGACTCTTCACTTGCCTTTAATGATGTAACTTTATCAGTTAGGCTAGTAGTTTTTGCTGTGGTATCAGTACGTAACAACTGGAAAGCAAAGTAACATTTGTTAACCCCCAATTCATTTTTTTCTTGCTGATACGAAAAATTATCCGAACTGTGACTCAAAACCGTAATATGATCCAAAGCGTGAGCTTTGTGATCTGTTGAACCACTATAGTTTACATAATAGTTTAGCATCCAAATACATTGCGAATATGGAAACATTTGGATTTGTGCCGTATGAGAGAGGTATGCTATATACGTGAGCGCAACGCCGGTTTCTGTTTCAGTTTCACTTTAAATTAATTCATTTTGGCTTGACTTTTATATAGCTACTTTTATTTTTCATTCTTGTTCTGTTCTGAATACAGTTGAAGGTGTAGTATGGTATTTCTCAAAGTCATTGCTGAAGATTGTTGATATTTGAAATCAACCCAAACAAACACACCCCTCTCTTCATTGCTCCGCCTCCAAAGCTCACCCTCCAATCCTAACAGCGCTGCTCCGAGTCGGCCTTGAACCCCGATTGATGCACTAACAGGGAAGCTAAGCAGTAAACAGTGTGTTCTCTCTAGCAGTCATCAGCCTGCACAACTCTCACTAGCTGGCCTCCGTTACACACACAATGCAAGAGCGAAATGTCTATTTATCGTAGCAGAAGCACAACAAAATAATGTTTCACGAAAAATAAAGCTAAGATGATGAACGAACTTCAAGGAAGCACAAAAAATTAACATACACACACAAGAGTAAATACAAACAAGAGTTTGTTGTTACTTGCCAACAGAGAAACAATGACACTCAAAACCAGTGTTACTCGCGTATGAAGCGGAATCAAAGCAACATCTGTTTTCAGGCCTTCCGCTTGGCTCTCTCCAGCGCTGTAAAGCTTTTCCAATATTAACATGGGTCCTAAAGCTCTTTCCTGGTCATAACCCTTCGTTTTCTAGTGATAGTCTTATGAGCTTTTCTCTTTTGTAATGTCTCACAGCCATCTCTCTTTCTACAGTATTTCTTCAAATCTCTCTCTTGCTCTTTCGCTCTCCTCCACCGTCATACGCCCCCTAATGCTGATTGGCTACTCGTTTGTTGTTTGTTGTTGTCGCCACTGGAAATAGTTCCAAACAAAACCACCGCAGAACTGCTGTACATCTTAGAGCAGCACACACCAATGTTTCATTACGGAATAAATCTGCATTTAACAAATCGGTTGAGTAAATAATACAATGACCCATTCATTAAAGATGATCACTTTCTTAAATCAGTTGAA